CGAGCCACGCCGCCACGCCGCGCGGGTCGTCGTACCGAGCGTACCGAGCGTACCGAGCGTACCGAGTGGCAGGCGGAGCGGGCGGAGCGACAAATTAGTTTCCCGATCGTGGACACGTTTGTGTGTGTGTGTGTTTGTGTGTGTGTGTGTGTGTGTGAGAGGGAGAGAGAGAGCGAGAGAGAGTGAGAGAGAGAGAGAGAGAGAGAGAGAGAGAGAAAGGGGAGAGGGGGGACAGTGAGGGGGGAGGGAGAGGGAGAAAGAGAGTGTGTCTATGCATGCGAGTGAGTGTCAATGTGTGAGTGCACGCCTTTGTGTCTGTGAGTCTCTGCCTCTGCGTGTGTGTGACTGTGTGAGCGGGCTGGAGTGACAAGTGTGAGTGTAGTGTGAGTTTGTGAGAGCGGGGTATTTAACGGCAGGGTTGAGCAATTAGTGGTGAGGCGATCCGGGCGACCGGCGCTGCTCGAATTCCGGGCCGGATTCGTAATGAGAGCGCAGCGTGCTGCGATTGGCTGGGCTGGGCTGGCTGGCTGGCTGGCTTTCGCGACCGAATGGCGCCGAGATTCGCACCGCCAGTGCCGTGGCGTGCAAGGCCGCCCCGCCGCCAGGCCGCCAGACTGACGCCCACCCCTTATTGAGGATTCCCGCTCACCAGGAATGCCGTTGACGGCGGCGGCCTGGACGGCCTGGAAGCGAAGGCTTGCACACCGATTCCGAGAGTCGTTTTCGTCGCTCTGTCCCTCTCGCACTCATGGGGCGTCCCGTTTAGGTTCGAGACAGACAGAGCGACGAAAAAGACTCTCGGCCTGGACGGGGTGCTTCGCCGCCACACTGCACTGAGAAAACAAACGCGGCCAATTCCGCACGTGTGGTGCGGACAGGGACTTTGACCACGTTTGGTGACGCGGCCGAGGTCAGTCTCGTCGCCGCATCACCAAACGCGGAATCCGCCACGTTTGCGCCACGTTAAAGGATAGGGCCTCGATAAGCTTGACCACGTTTGCGCTCCGAATTGCGATGACCGCATCACGAAACGTGGTCAAATCTTAACAAAATTTGACCACACCACTTCGTGCGGAATTGGCCACGTTTGTTTTCTCAGTGTGGGCACCGCTGCTGCCGTGCGGCCGTAGGATCGTCAAAACCGTGGACAACGGACTCCATGACGACGCCGTTGATCACGGCAATAAAGAAAGGGATCCTTTTGCCGCAGCGCTTCCACTCCACTCTGTTCCACTGCAGTGGCTTTTGAGTGACTCTCTCGCTCTCTTTGTCCGCACAGGCCGGCTCGGCTCGCTGGACACAAGGACCCCCGCGAGGACCTGCGAGGACCTGCAAGGACCGGACACAGGGCGGCACAGGGCGCCAGGCCTCCGGCATGGGCTTCTGGACCTGTGGGCAGGTACGTGAGGACACTGGAAAAACAAAAGCAAGTACTGCGCACTGTGAAAAAGAAAGAGAAACAAGGACAGGGTGAGGGCACTGGAAAAAAAGACAAGAAACCCGGGAAATCAAAAATTAAGATGGGAGAAAGAAAAGAAGGGGGAACCGGGGGTAAATCAACCAAGGTATGGCCCCCTCAAAAAAACAAAAAAGGGAAATCAAACTGGAAAAAAAGACCCAAAGGGATGTAGCAGTGCGACAAGGAACATTTGAAACCTCATGTTAATGGTCAAGAAAGAAGGCAGTTAATTGTTTTCCCGGGGTGGAAACCTTTTTCCTCTGCGCCCTTAAAACCAACGAAAACCCCACCCCGCCCCAGTTGGCTTGAAGGGGGCCAAGGGCCCGGCCGAGCTTTTTCCCGTGAAACCCCTTCAACGTATCAACACCCGGGGCGGCTCGGGACAACTTTATAGGGAGGGATGGTTCGAAAAGCGGGGGCGTTCGAGGAACTCACTGCTCGCGGGGGACGAATTCCGCTCTGTCACAACAACAACACTCCCTGCATCCCGGGATTTTTGGATGCGAGAAAAACAGAGCGAACCGGACCTTTTTTGCTGATCTTGTTCCGCAGGCAGAAGGATTTCTTTTCCCGGGTGGTTTAGCTTGGAGTAACTGGACGACCCGCCAGTCCGCATTGGTCCGAGGCTCGGCTCCCCCCACTCCTTTTTTTTCCTTTGACGAGTCGAGTTTTGCCATGGAAACGGCGATTTTGACAGCAAATTTCAAAAATTTGGCCCCCAAATTTTGACCAGATTTCAACATCAGAATCAGCGTTCAAAGTTCTACTAGTCTGCAAAATCTCATTAAAATCGTATAGAAAAATTCCGAAATGCATAAAGGGCCACACAAATCAAATCTCGAGCCGGCTGAGTCCTGGGTATACTATAAGGCTACTTCGTGCCTAAAAAGACTGGACACTGGAAATCAACAAAAACAAGTATCGGGAGATGAAGAAAAACAACAACCGGGCGGTAAATCAACAACAAGGATATGGCACTAAAAAAAAACAAAAACAAGGAACGATCACTGAAAAAAGGACAGGGCACTGTAAAAGCGAAAACAAGGAGAGTGAGCCTTTGTTCTGAGGGCAAGTGGAAGCAGGCCTGTCCGAGGACGGACCTCTCTCTGTACCCTTACCACGACCCCACCCCGGCCGAGTTAGGCCGAGCCGAGCCAGGCCGAGCTCCTAGTGAAACCCGCTCAGGTACCATCGACACCGGGGCCGGCCGGGGCACTGTAGGGCACTGAGGGCGACGCGACGCTTCGATGAGCTCGCTGCTCTGGGAGACTGATTCCGCTCTGTCTCTCTCGCACTCATGCATCCCGTATAGGTGCGAGAGAGACAGAGCGACGACTCTCCGATCAGTCCGCAGGCAGAGGCGACTTCTCCGGCGGGTTAGCCGCGAGCTAACAGGGCGACACCGCCAGTCCAGCGGACTGATTCCGAGAGTCGTTTTCGTCGCTCCGTCCCTCTCGTTCCCTCACACGAAGAGCACGACGAGCGCGAGAGAGACAGAGCGACGAAAGCGACTCTCGGAATCAGTCCGCTGTCCGCTGTCCTCCCCTTAGGTAAACGCCGCTCTTGGCCCGCAGTTTGCTGCCGGGCGATAAGGTCGAGCCGTAAATCGAGAGCACACACAAATCAAACGCCCGGACTGACTTTTAGTCCACGAGCTGAGCCCCCCCCGCCCCGCCCCGCCCCGCCCCGCCCCGCCCGCCCGCCCCGCCCCGCCGCGTCGGCCGGCCTTGGCGCGGCGGCCCTGTTCCTGTTTCAGCAAGTTTTCCAAAGTTGCGGTGGTCGGCCGCTCCCGACCTGGCCTCGCCTCGCGCGGCGCGGCGGCGCGGCCGCCCTCCCTCCTGAAAGGGTGAGGTGAGCGCAGGTAAGGCGGGCGAGGCCGGACCATTGGGCAGCACGATGGACGATACGCGCCTGCCCGCGGTGCACACAGTGGATTTGTCAGAAGACCGGCGCAGGCGGCCAAACGCGTTTTGAGCTTCAGAGTCGCTGAACAGGACTCGAACCGAACGTGTGACCCCACCGATGGATTCCTCGTTCGGAGAGCAATCCATTGGCGGGTTCATACGTTCGGTTCGAGCCTCGTTTAGAGACTCTGAAGCTAAAAACGCGTCCGGTATTTTGACCGCCTCCACCGGTCTTCCGGCCCACTGTGCTGTGCACACCAGAAAGTCGTTTCTTGACTACATTCGCTTGTTGCAAGTTTATTATCTCGGTTCAAAAGACGGCTTTTCAGGCTGTAGCTGGGCCACCAAATAAGCCTTCGCACCAAAAGGAAACGGCTTTCCTCAGGTTATAATTGATTCACATTTCCTTGGTGCTTCACCACTGTCCCCATCATTAAGTCCACGACGCGGACGAGCGGGAAGACGGACTTGGTCCTTTGGATTTGGATTCATGCAAATGTCTCCCCCCCTCCCCTGGCGACCCTGTCCTCATTGCCGGAGAGCATCGACGTGTTCGCCGCAGCGTGGCAAGCAGGCCGGGCCGAGGGATGGGCGAGAAAGGAAGAGGGGGAGGTTCCAACTGTAGAACAACATCCGCGTTGCCCCCAGCAGGCTGGATCCGAACAGTACTGTCCTCAGCCCTCTCTCTCTCTCTCTCTCTCTCTCTCCTCTCTCTCTCTGACTCACTCCTTGTGGGTTGCCCCGAGAGTTCGGGTGTCTCCTCTGCGGGCGTGCCAAAGTAATTCACTTTAAAAATAAATAAGTAAATAAATTTAAACTTAAAAGTCGAAAGCAGATTTCCATCACGGTGCTTGAAAGAATGCTTGGAATGACGTACCCCCTCGGCTGCGCCTCGGCTCACAGTGGGCCAGAAGACCGGTGGAGCTGACCAAAACTCTCGACGCGTTTTGAGCTCCATGGTCGCTGAATGGGACTCGAACCGACTGTGTGACCCCACCAATGGATTGCTCTGCGAACGAGGAATCCATTGGTGGGGGTCACACGTTCAGTGTGAGTCCTGTTTGGCGACTCTGGGGCTCAAAACGCGGCCTTCTGGCCCACTGTGCGGCTGCGTCCGCCGAGTCCTCGACGCCGCTGCCGCGGCTGCCGGTAGCGGCCGTGGCGACGCGACCGGGAGTTTACACTTGTCCCGCATTCGCCCCATTCGCCTCGAGGGAGGGACAACCCGCAATCAGGAGCGCCAACTTGAGGAAAGTTTTCTGCGACGGAGTGTTTTGGGCAGACTCTGCATTCCTGATGGGAGGTACCCACTGCGTACGGCATGAAAGAAGCTGACTGCACGGTTTGCGTTGCAGGGCCGTCGCGCCGGGAGAAGGTGATGCTGGTCCTGCTGGCCGTGCTCTCGCCGACCTGGGTGGTGGCGTCCCCGGGCGAGGGTGGCCCCGGAGGCTCCGACGCCGTCCTCGACGCCGTGCTCGACACCGGCCTCGGGGTTGGCGCTGCTGGCGCTGCTGCCCTGGGCCGGCTGGCGGCGGCGTGCCAGGGTCGCTTGGAGGTGGACGCCGCGCTGGTGGCGGGCCGCCTGCTGCCCGGTGCCGGGTGCGCGGCGCTGCCGGGCGCCGTGGAGGAGCACTGGGAGCGCTACTACGCCCCCGGCGTGCTGGAGAACGCCACCGAGGACGCCACGCTGTACCGCCGCCTGCTGGTGGGCCGCTTCATGGCGCTGCACCCCGTGCGCACGTGGGTCGAGGTGGGGCCCTTCACGCCCGCCGACCTGGACGTCGTCCACGACCACTGGCTCGGCTTCCCGCCGCAGAAGCCCTACATCCACTACACCCTGGCCGCCGCCTACACCGTCATCATGACTCTCGGCGTCTTCGGCAACCTCCTCGTGCTCTACATGTTCTGCAGGTAGGTGGTGCTGGCCGCGCTGCGGGCCGGAGGACCGGCGGGGCGGCCGAAACGCTAAACAGGGCTCGAACGGAACGTGTGACCCCACCAATGGATTCCTCGTTCGGAGAGCAATCCATAGGTGGGGTCACACGCTCGGTTCGAGTTCCATTAAGCGACTCTGGAGCTCAAAACGCGTCTAGAGTTTTGGCTGCCTCCACCGGTCTTCTGGCCCACCTGGTTTCCCACGCCCGAAATCGGCCCCTTTTCCCTGGCTGGGCCTGGTGAACTCGGACTCACCGTGTCACGTGCCTCCCGGACGGCGGTTCGCGTTTGGCGCTAAGCCCCCTCGGTGCCTTCGGCGCTGCGCACTTGGCGTGTAACTTACGTAAGTCTTCCGCCTTGGAGGCTTGGAGGCGCGCGTTGCACAACGCACCGCAAGAGGCCGTGCCCGATTTCGGCCGCAGTGCTTCCGTTGCTCTGTCTGTCTCTCTCGCACTCACAGGCGCCCCTCATGGGTGCGAGAGAGACAGAGCGCCAAAAAGAACACGAAACGCTCACAGTGACGTCATTTTGATGCCAATACGCCAAGTTTTAGTTAAAATTTCGACAAAAAAAGCATTACTCTGACGTCATTTTGCCTCCCTTTGACTGCTTCGTGAGTGCTTCGTGTTGATGGGGAGGCCTCGGTGAGGTCCAGCGCCACCAGGAGGCTGCTGCATTGCTGCATTCGCAAGCACCGCGATCGAGGACACAGACAAAGCCGATGGCGACGAGAGTGGCGCTGTTGAGCGATTCCCGCACTCCTCGCTCAGTCTCTCTCGCGCATAGTTTCTCCGCGGCACGCTCCGTGAGTGCGAGAGAGACAGAGCGAGAGATGCGGGCAGCGGAACCGCTCGACTGGGTATGGAGAGCGGTGCGGCCGGTACGGCGACCATTGTTCTCGGAGAGGAGGCTCATCGGGTAGAGGAGCACCGACGGAACCGAAGGGATCTCAATTGATTAACTAATTAATTAAATAATTAGGAAGGAGAGGCAATCGAGTCCCGCGGGGGCCGCGATGCAAAAAAAAGAGTTTCTTTTAACTGGAGGTAACGAATTTTAAATTACATTTTTAAATAAAAAGTGTCGCGGTTGGGGTTTGAACCCGAGGCGGTCCCTTGCCGAGAGTCGCACCGCTCAACGATAGCGCGGTGCGTACTCAGCAGACTGATTCCGAGGGTCGCTCTCGACGCTCAGTCTCTCTCACACTAAAGAGGCGTCCCGGGTAGGTGCGAGAGAGACAGAGCGACGAAAGCGACTCTCGGGTTGAATGAGTCGGCAGGGTGGTGAGGTCGGTACTCAGGTGCAGGTGTGGTGTTGCGAGTGTCGGCGCACTGCCTGGCTGCGTGGCTGCCTGCCGGGGCCGCCGGGGCCGCCGGGGCTGCTGGGCGACGAACCGTGCCGTGTTCATTTCCCTAAAAGCACCGCCAAGCTCCGCGAAGCACTGCGAAGCACCGCCGCGCAAAGAGGAGGCCGCGACGCCGACGCTGAGGAGTGAGGACGAGGACGCCCCCCGCGCCGCATATGAATTGCCGCCTGCCAGCCTCGGCGGGGTGGGGGGTAGAGGGGGGGGGGTCGGGGGCGAAATTAAAAACTGTTGAGGCGTCAACGTCCGCAGAACGCCGCGTTTGAGAGCAAGGGCTCGCGAGCCCGGCGGCCTCGCCTGGCCTGGCCTACGCAGCGCAGGGCGCGCGGCGGTCAGCCTGCGAAGTCCGGGGTAGGCAGCCCGCCGCGCGCGGCAGCCTTCGCGAAGCCTAGCGCCCGGGCGCTCCGCCGCGCCGGGGAGCTCGACGTCACGGGCCTCGCAAGCGGGGGCGACGCACAACGCGCACCAGGGCAGTCACGGAGCCAGGAGGAGATTGAGAGGGGGAGGAGAGGGGAGAGGGTGTAAAGTAACGAAAACTGCTTGTTTACAGGGACCAGGTGTATAATTGTTTGCTAAACTTTATGGGCCTTGGAGGGCGTCCCGCCCAGTTAGATCCGCGACCCGCCGACGCAGCGCGCAGCGGGGACCGGAAGCAGGCACCGGGAAGTCGAAACCGAGGCAGCGTGCGCGGTAATTCGGGCAAGATGCCGGAGAAGCCTCCGCTCCGCCCTCGGCTCCGCCAGTGCACCGTTCGACGGAATGCTCGGTCCGTTGTTGACGACTCACAATAGGGGCCGGCCGACTCCAGGAATCGCTTTCTCTGCCGTCTAGTCTCCCGATGCGGCCCTCTCGTCTCTCTGCCCCCGCCCCCCGTCCGGCGCGCCCCGTGGGTGCGACAGAGACGGAGCGACGGGACGACTCCTTGCGGGCCGCGCCGGGCCTGTCCACCTCCACTCTCTCTGAGCCCTGACGTCACTCCGAGACGTTTCTTCCTCGACGACGACTGTCTTCGGCAAGGCTCACCCCCCGGTCCTTCCCCTCCCCCTCCCCTCTCCCTGAGGCCGCCAACAAGAACAAACCAACTTCCCCGCATAACATTAAATATCCACCGGCAAACACACCCACCCGAAGTCGCACACAATCACACACGCCCACACACGTGCACATCATACCCACCTACACACCCACACACACCCACCCACACACACACCCACACACATCTCACACCCACACGCACGTATCTCGCGCCGCACATATGCCGCCGACGTCGTGCGTAAGTTCGGTCGGGTCAAGTCAGGGTGCGCGCCGTGTGCTTCAACCTTTCCAGGAGTGAAAGGGCAATTTTAAACCGAGTTAAACCAGGGTTGCGGCGAGGGACGCTGTAGTTTTGGTGGGGCGGGGGTTCGGCAGGAGGCATGGGGCAAGGGTCAGGGCCGTGGGCGGGCCAGTCGAGCGATAATGCAGAGGAGCGGTTTGTCGCTCAGTCTCTCCCGCGCCGTTATGGAGGGCTCCATGAGTGCGACAGAGACAGAGCGACAGAACGAAGCTTCTGAACCGCTCGGCAGGCAGGAGGCAGGCCTAGCTGGGGATAGGCTGGGCAGCAGGCTTGGCAGCGGGCCGGCAACACGTGGGTTTAACTCGTTTTGAAAGGGCCGGGCCGGGCCGGGCGCCCGGCGGCGGTGTGAACTGTGCAAAAGCAAAAGCCCATCGTCCGTTTTCCCCCGTCCTGCGGCTGTCACCACACTGGGGCCTGCGTCACGTGCGGAGGCGGACAGGCGGACAGGCGGACAGGCGGACAGACAGGCAGGCAGGCTGGCAGACAGAGGCGCGTTCCCCGGGGTGGTTTGGCTCCGTGGGCACGACGCGCTCGCGCTCCCCCGTCGCCCCAGCAGACTGATTCCGAGAGTCGTTTCCGTCGCGTTGTCTCTGTCGCACCTGTGCGAGACGCCCCGCGAGTGCGAGAGAGACGGAGCGACGAGAACGCCTCTCCGTCTCCAGAGAGCGAGCGAGCACTGCTTTGCCGCCGCCACGGCCGCCGCCGCGTGCCGCGCCTGCTTTGAACGGCAACACACCCCACCCAAGGCGGCGCGCCCGGCGCGAGGCGCGCGAGGCATGGACCGAGGCTGCTCAAGGCGGACAGGCCAACTCCGCCTCCACCTCTAAACACTTAACGGTAAATACGGTTTCGTAATTATGCGGATGTAGAGGAACGGGAGGGAGGGGGGGGGGTGTCCGTATGATTGCTAGGCACGGCACGAGCGTGAATGAGCACCACTGTGCTCGCCAGTGTGTGTGTGTTTGCTGTGTTTGTGTTTGTGTGTGTGTGTGTGTGTGTTTGTGGAATTTTTCTCCCACGCGCAGAGTCGTAAATTAGACTCCAGGGCGCGGAATGAGGAGTGGGGGGTGGCGGGGCCGAAGGGGGGAGGGGGGGGTGAGGGGAGAGGGGGGCAGACGGGGGGGACGCGGGGAGACGCCTACACTGCCCGACCTACACCCGCAAACGGGAATTCGCGAGAGGCCTTTGTTTTTGCGGCTCGCCGCGGCTTTTAGCGTGGCGCGGCGCGGCGTGGCGCAGATATGAGGGTACGGAGCGCCCTTGTGTGCGCAAAGAACTGTTTGTGTGCGTGTGTGAGTGTTGTGTGTGTGTGTGTGTGTGTGTGCGTGCAAGTGTGTGTGTTCACACGCGCGTATAGCCCTCGGCTGTGTACAGTATGTGAGGTAAATGCGGAAAGGAAACACACGTGCGATGGTCGTCGGCGACTCCCTGCGAAGGGTCCGAAAAACTCTCATTTCCTCCTACCCCCCCCCCCTTTCCCCCTTTCCCTGTTATGGTGCGTATCGAGGCAAGCGTCCTGGATGTGGAGCCCACTGCCTGCAGCGAACGAATTCCGGAGAGTCGTTTTCGTCGCTCCGTCTCGCTCGCACTCATGGGGCGTGCCTTATGGGTGCGAGAGAGACGAAGCGACGAAAACGACTCTCGGAATCAGTTCACCGCTCTCGCAAATCCTCTCATCAGCACGCCCGGCCCGGGCCACATCCGCCCCCGGCCGCCCCTAGCCTTCCCAGCAGACCGATTCCGCACATCGTTTCGTCGCCCCGTCTCTCTCGCACCTAGGCGGCACGCCCCGTGAGTGCGAGAGAGACAGAGCGACGACAGAGATGCGTGGAATTAGTCCGCAGGGCCGAGCCGGCAGCGCCCCAGCCCCGCAGCCCCGGGGTCGGGCTGCCCGAGCTATGCCGAAGGCGGCGGAGGCGTCACGCATGCTCGCTCCCTCTCTCTCTCTCTCTCTCTCTCTCTCTCTCTCTCTCTCTCTCTCTCTCTCTCTCTCTCTCTCTCTCTCTCTCTCTCTCTCTCTCTCTCTCTCTCGTTGTGGTTGCTGGTTGCCCTCGCTCGCAGCGCCTCTGCGTAGTGGAGTAGTGTACGTCCCCCCGACGCGAATCAAGGCTGGATGGATCCAGAGACGAGTTGGGGGGGGGGGGGCAATACAGTTAAGGGTGCCTGCTTACGGGGGAAAAGTGAGACTTTTCGCCTTCCTTTTATGGGACACCCCCGCCGCCACCCTGTCCAAGCCGCGGCGCACAGTGGGCTAGAAGGCCGGGGGAGGCGGTCAAA